GAGCAGGTGGGGAGGGAGGGAGAAGGGGATTAAGGGGCACTATAATTAGCAGTCACAATTTAGGCAGGTCATGGGGAAGGCAGTACAGCAAAGAGAAGACAAGTAATGACTCTATAGCATCTTACTATGCTGATAAACAGTGACAGCAATGGGGCGGAGGGGAACTTGATAATATGGGTGAATGTTGAAACCACAATGTTGCTCATGTGAAACCTTCATAAGATTATATATATATCACTGATACCTTAATTAAAAAAAATCAAGAGAGCAACATATGTGTCTAAATGCATATTAGTCACTGTTAATTATTTGCCTGTTTAGGGTAACAACTGTCTAGCTAAGCATTTCCAATTGTCATAGAAAATGCTTTTGATATTTTTTTCCCTTTTGTTAGTTTTGCATCTTCTGAGATGGGTAGGAGTCACTGATGTAATAGGGAATGCTGGTGTCCCATGCTAAACTACTTTATCAGAGCCACCAATTGCAGGCAGCTGCATGATGCATTATTTCTTCTGCACACCAGTTTTCTTTAAGCATGCAGTAAACTGTGCTTTTCAGTCGTGTTGGTTTGTGCCAACCTCCTTTAGCCAAACAGTCCCTGATTTAAGATCTCTTATGATCTATTTCCATGTATTCCCTGGGTCTGAATGAATTTATGGGGTTCATCTCACTTCTCAACTAAAGTACAAAAAAATGAAGAAAGATTAGAATTTATGCTAAAGTTAATTATACTTATCTGTTCCCAATGACATTACCTTTTCTGCTACTTCCCACAATCATCAAACTACAGAACCTACTGGACTGGAGCATACTATGATAGTTGAGAGTGAGGACTCAAAGTCAGATTGCACAACTTTGGGAATACAATTAAGTCCTCTAATTATTGAGGAATCATTAGCTTCCTTGTTTGTGATGTTTGTATAGTGACTTTATTACCATATAGAGTGGTTGTGAAGACAGAAGAACTAATGATTTCTATACTGAAATTGAGAGGGCTTATCATCTTGCCTGACCCGTAAGTCAGGAAATGCTGGCTACTATTACCACAGATCTTGTGCTTAAAAGAACTTCAAAAAATATATGTTTGTTTGTAAAATGAGAATAAGTGCTGGCCAGTAGAATCCTACTTCATCTCATTTGTGGGACTTCCTTAATCAAAGATTAACCAAAATGCTTAATATACTTCTCTGAAAGTATCAATGCTACATTTATTTCACAAACAGTTCAGTTCCCAGTGGGTGGGTAGTGCTGGCAAAGCAGACACAAATGAAGCCTTGTTGTCCAAGAACTCACCATCTAGTAGACGAGACAGATCAATAAATAAATTGTTCAACTTTAAACACAATAAAATACATAAAATTGCAATCACAAAATTCATGTTGGTGCTGAATTTGTATACTGAACAGTTCTGTCTTGCTAGTAGAGGGCGGAAATGCAGAAAGTCAAGCACATAATACAAATGTGAGTTTGATTTTGGTTTCATATTGAATAATCCAATGAATCAGAAATGATATCTCAACACATCTTAAATACTCTACTTGAAGAAGCTCTTGTATTTTTTTGGGTAGGAGACAGAAAACCACTGCATGTATTAAATTGCTTTTCCTTACATGGTTTGGGGAAGTGAGGCCAAAAAACATCTACCGGATATTCTACTAAGTTGTTTATGAGAGCCAACAGAAAGAATTAGTTTGCACATCCATATCAAATGCCCACACTCTCTACTCCCCAATTCTTTATATAGCTGTCATGAAACAAAGATATGCCTAATTGGCTTTGCCAGCAGTAAGGGATAAGCTGTCTTTTTTTTTCCCCATCTTCATTGGCTGCAAATCCCATTCCTGATTTGATACAGAACACTTAGATTCCTCTAAAAAAGACCCATGTTAAAATGAATCCATGTTCACTTGCATTTTTCCATAAAGTCTCCAAAAAGCAATGGTATGCTGGAAGTCTCTGGTGTGGCAGAAACTTGTGATTTAGGACATGTGACTGGCATCTCCTTTAGGGGTGTAAGTGGTTCAAGTGGCTCAAGATAGAATGCCATTCTATGCCTGGTATTACATTATGCACTGTCAGAAACCCTGACAATGATTTATCATTGCTACTTATATGTTTTACTCCAACTAATATCTTATATGAAATAGATTCTAACTCAGATCCAAACATTGTTTCACTAATAAGAAACAACACAGACATATTAACATATGTCATACAGTGACTGTATTCAGTATAATTAAATTTTGTTTCTTCATTTTAGGGAATCCCTCAAGTTTTTTCCTTATTTCTTCTGTTCTCAAAGTTTTCCTTTTAGGAGTCAGATTTTAATAATAAGACAAGATAGTTAAGAGTGTGCACCCTAATTTCTATCACTCCTTACATAATAAAATTAAATTCCTGCTGAATCTGTAAAACAGAAGCACTAAGTAGTTAAATTGTACATTTGGAAATCTTGTGGCTTTTCAAAGTGATAGATAATGTTATTCCTATCAAATTAATAGGAATAACTGAGACCGATGATCATCAGTTAATTTTTTAATGTTTACTAAAAAGCTTGTTATGTATGTTTATTTCTGGCCTATGTATATATTTAAGAAATCTATACATTATAGAGAAGAAAGAAAGTAGGGAAGTTTAATATTCACAAAAACATTCTTATGCCACATTAGTTGCATTTTCAGCCAATTTTTCCTTTTTCCTCTGAGGATTTTCCTTTGAGAACAGGTTTATCTTTTAGGACTCACTTGTTCCCAGAAGTTAGATAGTTGAACTACCACGACAGACTATAATTACAACCGACTACTCCTTAGTCAAAAGGAGTAATTTATCAACTAGTACAATGTACAATGAGAACAGTGTGTAGGGCTGGCTTCAGGTAAGGCTTGAGTCAGATGGTCAAAAAATGGCAACTTCGTTTTCAGTCTGCAGACTCAGGTTCTACTTGGATCAATTCTCATATAGGTTCTCTCCTTGTAGTACCTAAAAGGAGCCACCCCTCTACCTTGGTATCTCCCTAAGAAGGGGACTAGAGGAATAGTATATTCTGTAGTTTCTTTGTTCAAAAAGAAAAAAATCAGAGCCAACCTTATAAAGAAATATTTTAGAGCAGCATTTCATAAATTCTGAGAAGTATGCCAATCACCTGGGAATCTTGTTAAAATGTGGATTCTGTATGTAGATCTGCGACTCTGCATTTCTAGTAGAAATGCAGTAGGTGATGCCAAAGCTGCTGGTGCCCAGACCATACTTTGGGTAGCAAATCTCCACTACTGTGCTGTCTGATATAGTAGCCAGTAGCCACATGTGGTAATTTAAGTTTAATTCAATCTAATTTAAAAATTCAGTCCTTATTCTCACTAGCCACATTTTAAGTGCTCAATAGCCACCCATGGCTAGTGGCTGCGGTACTGAGTAGCACAGAAGAGAACATTTCCATAATCTCAGAAACATCAATTGGACAACTTTGCTCTAGAAGATGGACAGGTGATAAGTACAACTGGACAGCTTTGCTCTAGAAGATGGAAGATGGTCCAACTCTAGGTTGAATGCAATGCTATAAACAGGACATGGCTTCTTGAAATTTCAACGTAGCACAGTTTCCTAGAGAACTTCTCTGTATCTTCTAAAGGTATATAACCAAAAGGTCTAGCATTTTCCAAGCCATGGTATAATCTAAACTACGTGAGATTTCTCTTGAGACCTTCTTTTCTTATTTGTACACAAAATGCTTAGCACTCAGCACCACATGCTGCCGTGACCTATAGCAGACTCATAGACTCCAAGAAGGGACTAGTGGTTACCACGGGGAAAGAGTTGGGGAGAGCAGGTGGGGAGGGAGGGAGAAGGGGATTAAGGGGCACTATAATTAGCAGTCACAATTTAGGCAGGTCATGGGGAAGGCAGTACAGCACAGAGAAGACAAGTAATGACTCTATAGCATCTTACTATGCTGATAAACAGTGACAGCAATGGGGCGGAGGGGAACTTGATAATATGGGTGAATGTTGAAACCACAATGTTGCTCATGTGAAACCTTCATAAGATTATATATATATCACTGATACCTTAATTAAAAAAAATCAAGAGAGCAACATATGTGTCTAAATGCATATTAGTCACTGTTAATTATTTGCCTGTTTAGGGTAACAACTGTCTAGCTAAGCATTTCCAATTGTCATAGAAAATGCTTTTGATATTTTTTTCCCTTTTGTTAGTTTTGCATCTTCTGAGATGGGTAGGAGTCACTGATGTAATAGGGAATGCTGGTGTCCCATGCTAAACTACTTTATCAGAGCCACCAATTGCAGGCAGCTGCATGATGCATTATTTCTTCTGCACACCAGTTTTCTTTAAGCATGCAGTAAACTGTGCTTTTCAGTCGTGTTGGTTTGTGCCAACCTCCTTTAGCCAAACAGTCCCTGATTTAAGATCTCTTATGATCTATTTCCATGTATTCCCTGGGTCTGAATGAATTTATGGGGTTCATCTCACTTCTCAACTAAAGTACAAAAAAATGAAGAAAGATTAGAATTTATGCTAAAGTTAATTATACTTATCTGTTCCCAATGACATTACCTTTTCTGCTACTTCCCACAATCATCAAACTACAGAACCTACTGGACTGGAGCATACTATGATAGTTGAGAGTGAGGACTCAAAGTCAGATTGCACAACTTTGGGAATACAATTAAGTCCTCTAATTATTGAGGAATCATTAGCTTCCTTGTTTGTGATGTTTGTATAGTGACTTTATTACCATATAGAGTGGTTGTGAAGACAGAAGAACTAATGATTTCTATACTGAAATTGAGAGGGCTTATCATCTTGCCTGACCCGTAAGTCAGGAAATGCTGGCTACTATTACCACAGATCTTGTGCTTAAAAGAACTTCAAAAAATATATGTTTGTTTGTAAAATGAGAATAAGTGCTGGCCAGTAGAATCCTACTTCATCTCATTTGTGGGACTTCCTTAATCAAAGATTAACCAAAATGCTTAATATACTTCTCTGAAAGTATCAATGCTACATTTATTTCACAAACAGTTCAGTTCCCAGTGGGTGGGTAGTGCTGGCAAAGCAGACACAAATGAAGCCTTGTTGTCCAAGAACTCACCATCTAGTAGACGAGACAGATCAATAAATAAATTGTTCAACTTTAAACACAATAAAATACATAAAATTGCAATCACAAAATTCATGTTGGTGCTGAATTTGTATACTGAACAGTTCTGTCTTGCTAGTAGAGGGCGGAAATGCAGAAAGTCAAGCACATAATACAAATGTGAGTTTGATTTTGGTTTCATATTGAATAATCCAATGAATCAGAAATGATATCTCAACACATCTTAAATACTCTACTTGAAGAAGCTCTTGTATTTTTTTGGGTAGGAGACAGAAAACCACTGCATGTATTAAATTGCATTTCCTTACATGGTTTGGGGAAGTGAGGCCAAAAAACATCTACCGGATATTCTACTAAGTTGTTTATGAGAGCCAACAGAAAGAATTAGTTTGCACATCCATATCAAATGCCCACACTCTCTACTCCCCAATTCTTTATATAGCTGTCATGAAACAAAGATATGCCTAATTGGCTTTGCCAGCAGTAAGGGATAAGCTGTCTTTTTTTCCCCCATCTTCATTGGCTGCAAATCCCATTCCTGATTTGATACAGAACACTTAGATTCCTCTAAAAAAGACCCATGTTAAAATGAATCCATGTTCACTTGCATTTTTGCATAAAGTCTCCAAAAAGCAATGGTATGCTGGAAGTCTCTGGTGTGGCAGAAACTTGTGATTTAGGACATGTGACTGGCATCTCCTTTAGGGGTGTAAGTGGTTCAAGTGGCTCAAGATAGAATGCCATTCTATGCCTGGTATTACATTATGCACTGTCAGAAACCCTGACAATGATTTATCATTGCTACTTATATGTTTTACTCCAACTAATATCTTATATGAAATAGATTCTAACTCAGATCCAAACATTGTTTCACTAATAAGAAACAACACAGACATATTAACATATGTCATACAGTGACTGTATTCAGTATAATTAAATTTTGTTTCTTCATTTTAGGGAATCCCTCAAGTTTTTTCCTTATTTCTTCTGTTCTCAAAGTTTTCCTTTTAGGAGTCAGATTTTAATAATAAGACAAGATAGTTAAGAGTGTGCACCCTAATTTCTATCACTCCTTACATAATAAAATTAAATTCCTGCTGAATCTGTAAAACAGAAGCACTAAGTAGTTAAATTGTACATTTGGAAATCTTGTGGCTTTTCAAAGTGATAGATAATGTTATTCCTATCAAATTAATAGGAATAACTGAGACCGATGATCATCAGTTAATTTTTTAATGTTTACTAAAAAGCTTGTTATGTATGTTTATTTCTGATCTATGTATATATTTAAGAAATCTATACATTATAGAGAAGAAAGAAAGTAGGGACGTTTAATATTCACAAAAACATTCTTATGCCACATTAGTTGCATTTTCAGCCAATTTTTCCTTTTTCCTCTGAGGATTTTCCTTTGTGAACAGGTTTATCTTTTAGGACTCACTTGTTCCCAGAAGTTAGATAGTTGAACTACCACGACAGACTATAATTACAACCGACTACTCCTTAGTCAAAAGGAGTAATTTATCAACTAGTACAATGTACAATGAGAACAGTGTGTAGGGCTGGCTTCAGGTAAGGCTTGAGTCAGATGGTCAAAAAATGGCAACTTCGTTTTCAGTCTGCAGACTCAGGTTCTACTTGGATCAATTCTCATATAGGTTCTCTCCTTGTAGTACCTAAAAGGAGCCACCCCTCTACCTTGGTATCTCCCTAAGAAGGGGACTAGAGGAATAGTATATTCTGTAGTTTCTTTGTTCAAAAAGAAAAAAATCAGAGCCAACCTTATAAAGAAATATTTTAGAGCAGCATTTCATAAATTCTGAGAAGTATGCCAATCACCTGGGAATCTTGTTAAAATGTGGATTCTGTATGTAGATCTGCGACTCTGCATTTCTAGTAGAAATGCAGTAGGTGATGCCAAAGCTGCTGGTGCCCAGACCATACTTTGGGTAGCAAATCTCCACTACTGTGCTGTCTGATATAGTAGCCAGTAGCCACATGTGGTAATTTAAGTTTAATTCAATCTAATTTAAAAATTCAGTCCTTATTCTCACTAGCCACATTTTAAGTGCTCAATAGCCACCCATGGCTAGTGGCTGCGGTACTGAGTAGCACAGAAGAGAACATTTCCATAATCTCAGAAACATCAATTGGACAACTTTGCTCTAGAAGATGGACAGGTGATAAGTACAACTGGACAGCTTTGCTCTAGAAGATGGAAGATGGTCCAACTCTAGGTTGAATGCAATGCTATAAACAGGACATGGCTTCTTGAAATTTCAACGTAGCACAGTTTCCTAGAGAACTGCTCTGTATCTTCTAAAGGTATATAACCAAAAGGTCTAGCATTTTCCAAGCCATGGTATAATCTAAACTACGTGAGATTTCTCTTGAGACCTTCTTTTCTTATTTGTACACAAAATGCTTAGCACTCAGCACCACATGCTGCCGTGACCTATGCATACAATTGAGCCTTTGTTGGTTGAGGTTCTCATCTTGGTAATCTTGATACAGATTTTTTATTAAATAATAAAAAAACTACAGAATGACTTCTTGTCTGTATAGAATTCTTACATGGCATTCACATGTATTGTAATATAGGTGAAATGAAGAACTGGAAAGATTGTTAATAGCCAAACAACAAACACTTAGCAGTCAATCAAACAACTAAATACATACCTATAAAACATCCTACGCATATGGCGATATACTGGTCCTGGCAATAAGGGAATAATAGCGCAGTCTCTGCTCTCGTGGTGGGCTTACGTAGCTTTCACTTTACAAACAATTAGCTCTTGTTTTATTAGAGCCTATTAATTTCAATGTCTTAGAGGAACGGGGTGTACAAATGTCCCAAGTGATGCTTAGCTGCTTCCAATTTAGCTCTGGAGCCCTTCCCCAACGTGTAAATGTCACTGTCTTACACATGGCACTTGAGAATGCTTCCCGAGCACAGGGGGACTTGTGTAATTCAGTGAAGCCTATCCTTTGGATTTGCTTCAGTGTGGACAGGACCTTTGTGGTGATAAGTACATGGCACACTTCTCAGTGCTTTCCTGTGACTGAGACACAGTTTGAATTTTGGCATCGCACAATCAGGGACATTCCTCCAGAGTCACATGAGTCTTTAGTATTTCTGTCTCTTGAGAGCTGGCATGACAAGTATACCTTTGGCCTTAGCATGTGGTTATGTGAGACCACAGGCCCAGATGAGGATGTGGGGCAAATTCTCTCAAGTTCCTGTGAGCATAAGTGCAGTGCATGCTGGCTACAGGTTAGGGTTACCCCAGCAAGATCCCGCCTCACACTGGGAAAATGCATAGTCAAGAAAGGGGCTTCATGATCAGCCAGGGCTTCCTTGCCACGGAGAGGCTGTCCCACTGTGAGTTGAGCAATCTCAGGGAGGGTATTGGTGCCATGAGGGGGCCCAATAAATAGCATCTTTTTTCAGCTCCTGATATCAGAACCAATGAAGAAATGGGCACTGGAGTCAAGCCTATGGGGATACAGATATCACCCTTATGATTTTTGATAAAGCTGTTGGACAGTGGACCTTAGGGAATGTAGAAGGCAATTTCTGACATGACCCCCAAGGACATCCACCTCCTGGTATTCACGTCCATGTATAATCCTCTCCCCTTGAGTACAGGCAAGGCCTAGTAACTTGCTTTAAACAATGGAATATGACAACACTGATGATAATAAACATCAGATTGTGACTTCCATCTTGTGAGCAGACTCTTTCTATTGACTCTCTCCCTTACTGGCTTTGATGAAGCAAGTCAGAAATACTGAAGTGGCAAGAAATTGAGGGCATCCTCTGCACAACAACTGGTCAAGAACTGAGGCCCTCGGTCCAATACCTTGTAAGGATCTGATCCTGTCAACAACCATGTGAGCTTGCAAGTAGATACTTTTCCAGTTGAGCCTCTGGAAGAAACCTCAGTTCTGGCTGACACCTTGATTGCAGCCTTCTGAGAGACCCTGAAGCAGAGGACCCATCTAAGCCATGTCAAGATTCCTGAACCACAGAGACTGTGAAATAATAATTGTATTAAGCTGTTAAATTCAGAGTAATATTCCTAAGCAACTGGTAAGTAATACAGGTGTGTTTATCAAGTGGACTTGCTAATCGTCTGCTCCTAAAGTAGGTGAATATGCCCATCTACTCTGGGGGTGCTAAACTCCATACCTGATCCTTGGGGGCCTACCCTATATTGCTTGAAGAAACAGAGAAGACAATATGCCTTTGTGAAGCAAGTGAATTTCAAGTCAGTGGAGGAAGTGAAAGGGTCAGATCCTTTAGCAAACTTACCTGCTGATTAGTCAGTTTCTCTTCACCTGAGGAAGAGTGAGGATTGAGAGAAGTGAGGACTGTTAACTCACAAGGTGTCTCTACATATGCAAATATCAATGGGTGAGCATCCTTGTGTCACATGGTTCCTTAGGAATGGGTTAAGTAACTTCACTTGCACAGGGAGGAGGGACGTTGGAGCCACAGGCCAGGAGTGCTCAGGAAAAATCTCTTCTCATAGAAGCAAGAGTAGAAAAATTAATAAGAAACTCCCCATCGTAAAAAGCTCCTTGCACAGGAAAATCTTCCTTGTGCTGATTTGAAATCTCACATTTCACTTTCTCATCCTAGTTTTGATGTCTTCTATGAAATCAAAGTCTTGTGCCCTTCCCCAGTGCCAGGTCTGAGCAATGCAGAGATGCATTAAGGTCCATTTCTGCCCTCAAGGGATTTACAGCCTGGAAGGCAGATATATTTGAAAGCAAACAGTGAGAACACATGATACAGGTTTGATTCCCTTGGAAGCTGGCTATGAGGTAAAGTTTAATACGTGAAATGTTGATTGGGAAAGGTCCTTGGGATCAAGACTTGTTGAAGGAAGGTGGTGATACGGAATTGGACAGAAAGATGGTGCAGCTGTGAGGGAGACCTCAGGAGAGCCTCTGCTGACTGCACAAGAAGGTCTGCTGCTAAAGTGGACCTTGGAGTTGACCTGAAAGGCTGAAATAGCTTGGCCTCATATGCCACTGGATTTGTCACTGGATCTGGCCATCCTGAGAGGGCAGGATCTCGGGGTCAGTTTTTTTCTGTACCTGTGGGAATCCCTGCAGAAGCAAACAGCTGAAGACAATGTGCCACTCTCCCTCCTAGTAGCTGGGCAACAAGTCCTTCTTTGATGGGACAGTTTAGAAGAAAGGGTCCCTACATTCCTCTCCCAAAAGGTAGGAGTAAGACTCTGCATGGAAACAGTCTCTCCTGTACCAATATTCCACAGAATCCCCTCTGTCCACACTTGGGCCCATTTTTATTTATTCAAAATGGGGAAGTGGTTCAAGAAACTCAGGTTCTGTCCTGCTACTCCCCATCAGACACACACTCTGGCATATGGTGTCTGCTGAGGTGGGGGATGTTCCTAGTTGGAGCACCAAGCTGTATCTGCCTAGGTGCAAAATGGCAGTGCAGAGCGGATGCCTGCCCGTGAGACTGAAAGGTCACCTGGTGCCAGCTTGTGAAGCGAGCTGTGTGTGGCAGTCAGGAATGCAACTTCTTTGGTTAATGAGATACTGTGGCGAGATTATTCTCCATGATGCCTGTGGATGAGATCACTGCTTTAACCCAGTAGTGGGTGGCAGCGTAGAGCAAAGCTTGAAGGAAGAAAAGTTTGGAGGCATGGAGACAAACTAAGAGACCGAGGAGTTGTTGAAGAGGGTGGTGACGGGGTCCAGAGTGAAGCAGACGCAGAACGGGTGGGAGCTTGGAGGGAGGATTTTAGAGACGAGATTGACGGGATTTGGAACCTGTTTAGATAGGGGAGATGAGAAGGAAGTTGGAATGAATTAATTGGGAGAACAGATTGACAGGATTTGAATCCTGATTAGAGATGAGAGATGAGAACAAGTTAGAAGGAATTAGTTTTCCAGTCTGAGCTAATGTGTGTGTGAGGGGAAGGAGTGAACTTCTTCTCTATTGCAAAATATATGTATTCTAAAGCAAAACATAGAAAATATACTTTAAAGATAATATTGTATTTTACACTTGTTTCATAACTAACAGATTTGAGGATTAGAAATCTGAGTGGGCATTAAAACATTCCAAATCATTAGCTCACAGCTGACAATAAGAATAAGAAAAACAAAAATAATAAGACATTGAAAATATGAATACTAAAAATAAAAAGTAAGTAAAAAATGAAGCTTTAACCACAGAAAAATAATAGTTTTTCCAAATTAAAAAAATATCCATCATTTATTGGGCATTTTCTATGTGCTAGGCATTGGGACACTTTCCTGAAATTATCTTGTTAAAATTTACAACAGCATTGCTATGCTATAGATTATTATTATGCCAATCTACAGATGAGAAAAGGAAAATGGTGTGCCCAAGAATGGAGTGACCACAGTCTGACTACAAAGCTCACACTTTAATTCTTACCACCTGTTCATAGCCTCAGTGAAGATGTTATCAGCCTTCCCCTGGGCCTAGTCCATCTCTGTTGATCGTGTTCCCATTATGTTATCAGCCTTCCCCTGGGCCTAGTCCATCTCTGTTGATCGTGTTCCCATTACCTGGCAGCCAAAGCGTTAAGGTAGCTGATTCTGCAGGAGGTCTAGGCCAGTAATTTGCGGTGCGGAGTGTTGATGTGCTGAGAGAAAAGAGATGTTCTAGCTGCCAGCATTTCTTGCGTAGAAACAAAACTTCCATTCACATCCTGATGAATTTTCAGAACCTAATTAGATGTGGGACCAAATATTACAGTTTCTTTACTCAACATGAGCACAGATGAACACTGATAGAGGTCAGGAATAGGATTTTCAACCTTTTTTCTTTTAAGAGTTATAGATTTATTCAATGGTAAGCTTTGATCTGAATAATACTTACAGACTAATGTGTTCTTCATTTCCTAGTATAACATGTTACATCTGAAGAGGACTTTGGCTTTTTCCAACAGGTCCTTCCCATGGGCTCTTATCTGATGTTCCAATAACATGAGACTGGGGGACTACTCAGAAGGTTGAGTCGGTCAAATCTCACCTGGCTCCTAAGAGTCAGGACCACATTTCCTGCTTGGCACTTCCAATTTCAGGTTCAGCACTTTTTTAAATGTTGTCACCACATGTAGGAATTTTGTTGGCCAAACAGTAATCAAAAGCCCACCATGTCAATTACATTTTTTGTTTGCTGTATATCGATATATAGGAAAATTATTTTAATTCCATTCCTGTTAAAAAATAGAGTTTGAGTGAAGTGAATGAATACTTGCATGTGTGTGTGTGTGTGTGTGTGTGTGTGTGTGTTTTTCCCTTGGCCTAGAAAAACAAAATAGAAAACAGGAGACAGATTCATTTTTTATAGTGACATGGGACTGATGACATCCAGTTAACCCAAAGATTTGCACAGAGTTTGTATTGTTTGGTGGACATCTATGCAATTGAATTGAGTAATGACATTAGAATTTGGACTCTGAAATAAAGACAAACAGACAAGTCTTGGTGATACAGAAAGGCTGGCCTCTTGTGCCAGAGATTTGCAGAGAGCGATTTCTGTGTTGTTCAGTGATTAAGGGTGCTATGTAGCCAGGAACTGTTTCAGCAATCATAGATGTTGTTTTTCCAATTGGACCAATCTGCCAGACTGGCAGACAGAAAACTAACAGAAATATTAAATAGAGACAGCTTCTATAGTTGAATCTTGTTTTTCCCTCTCTCTGCCGGAAGCCACTAGAAAATAGTAGCCTGTGTGTAGGTCATTAAAAACAGGCACAGATACACACACCGTGTTGTGTATTCGCACTGTTAAATTAAGTCTTTCTGGGATGAAAAACTGGTGCCAAAACAGTTGTTGCAGATGTATTAGATGACTGAAGCCATCCTGCATTTATGATGTTATATTCAGATACTGTCTCCTGGCTCCCAGTCACATTGTGAAGGATTCCACTTTTTGTTGACCTACACACCGTGGGGAATCATTGGAGGGGAAGCACCATGCTTGAGTTTCCAAATTCACACTCTTGAGGTCTGGTAAATTTAATGAATACGTGTTTGGAGAACTTGATAGAATAGCTGGTTTTATTTCCAGGATTTGTTTCCATGCATGGCCAGCAAAGATGCATAATTACGTGCAATTCTTCTTCTGGCCACAAATGTAACAGAACTGAGCTCAGTTAGCTTCTGTGACCACAATTTATGTAGAGCAAAACCTCCCCTCAGATTCAGAGAAATGATGACACAATTCCATTGCAACATACATATGTGGCCTCCCCAGACACCCCTGGCATACAAAAGGGCCTTATGCAGCTTGCGTGGCATGTGATCCTCCTTTTCTATGAATATTCTTCTACTATTTTCTCAGCTTTCTTAGGAAATATATTTCTACCTCTTTTGTTCTGCATTTCTTAGGAAGAAAGAAGTTTAATACTATGATGTAAAGAGGACTTTTGTTTGGTAGAATTGATCAATGTTCACTTAAAACAGACTCTCCCAGATAATTTTATCTCATAGGTAGGGAGCATATAGAGAGTAGTGGGTTCCATCATAGCTAATTTGGAGTGACCTCCTCTTTCTTTGCCATCAGTAAGGCTGGCAAATGAAATGATGACATATCTGGAAATCTGTCTTCTTTATCTATTGCCCAAGAAATAATATCCTCCCATATTAAAAGTAGCGTTTAATGTACATGTTTCCATGTGGATTGGGAGTTATGATTTTGTTCTGTTTTGGAGGGTTTGGGTCACCTGCCCCTTTGAGCAAAGCAATGAGTGAATTTCAGGGGCAGTAAATGTTATCTTTCAAATAGAACCCTTTGCTTCTTGACAGGCTCAGAGGTGTGAATCTGAATTGAAAAAAAAAAAACTGGCCTATTTCCCCTTACTTATGTCTGAAAGGTGGAGAAGAAGGAGGGGGTAGAAAAGCTGCATTCCTCAAACGATCCACACCCTAGAATAAAAAGCGTATATAATCATTTCTGGGTAATTATATGTTGGCAATGCTTGCTAACCAGTTTTGTCTGACTTCACAACCTAGATTCTGTTATATTACATTATATTACATAGCAACACATTCCTTGCACCCAAAAGGGTGTTTGTGGCCTAGGCCCCTTGTACCTGTGGGAAGACACTGATCTTTTTCCACACAGGAAAGACCTTCTGCGTAGACGGCCCCTCTTGTCATTGTGAACGCTGCATGGATGGCTCAGAACCATTTGTTACCTTTTGGAAATTATTTGTATTAGTTTCCTAAGGAAGCTTAACAAATTAGCACATACTTGTGGTTTAAAACTACTTGAATTTATTATCATAGAGTTTTGAGAGCCAGAAGTCTGATGTGGCTCCCACTAGGCTAAAATCAGTGTGTTGGCAGGCTTCGTTCCTTTTGGAAGTTGTAGGGGAGAATCTGTTTCCTCGCCTTGTCCAGCTTTTAGAGGCTGCTGGCATTTCTCGCCCTATGGCTTCCTTCCATTTCCCAAACCAGCAATGGGGTTCTGGGTCCTTCTCATATTACATTGCTTCAGTGTCTGCTTCCATGGTCACATCTCCCTCTTGACCTGCGAGGACCCTTCTGCCCTCCTCTTTCCACTTGCATAGATCCCTTGTGATTACATTAGGCCCACCCAGATAATCCAGGATAATCTGTATTTTTTAAGGTTATCTGATTATCAAATTTAATTCTCTCTGCAACTTTGTACCCTAACATACTCCCTAGTACTGGGGACAGGGGTATGGACCATCTTTGGGGGGCCATTAGGCTCTCTACCATACCCTTCCCTCATCCCAGATTTAATTAATGAGGACAGAGGTTGAGTTCTTAAATGCATCAGCAAAGGTTAGATGATCTTGGCAGAAGTGAAAATGATATTCCTTGGATAGACGGTCGGGAGCCTTACCCTGAGTCCTAGTGAGCACGATGGTTCACAGCAGCTCTGCGTGACTGCAGGGATGCCCTCTGCAGGGGCAGGCCAGAACCAAAGCATTTGCTCTATAGGATTCCTAGAAGACTGTCACACACGAACATTGCTTTTTTCTCATCCAAGTATAGTTGTCCTAAAAAGAAGGAAATTGACTTTTACTTACTGTATGCTCCTGGGTCCTGGGCAGTAAATATGTTTTTATTGTTGTTATTCATACAAATGATCGTACTGCATGAAGGCTAGTAATGCAGCAGCATGTTCTCCTTTGAGAAGACACTGCAGTCCCCAAGAGGATGTTCCAGGCCCCTGTGTTTCTGCCTTGGCTCAGGCACCCCAGAGCCTGTCCATCTGCGGGAGCAGCACTTCCCTCTAGTCCTGATGCAATGATTTAAGAGGGTGTTTCAGACCAGGCAGCTGGCTATCTTGGTACCATCGTCCCACTCTGGTTGTTGACGTGTGCTTTCAAGTCTTCTGCAATGCGCAATTTCCCCTTTCCTCATTTGAATCCTATAATTCACACTGTGTACTCAGGAGTGAGATTTGACCTTTGCCCCTCCGCCCAGTCTGCACTCTTGGACTTGGGTCATGGATCTTTCAGGTTAGCACATCATCTTAGGTTGTGCCAGTCACCCCAGATTGGATTTTCAATATTATTTCTAATCATCTTAATTAATACATTATTATTATTAATCAATATTTTCTTAACCCCTCCTTCTGCCTCCACTGCTACATTTGGGACTTCTTAAGGCACATGGAACTCTCTGCTAAGTCTCACTGACCTGCCAGATTTTATCTCAGTCTTTTCTGATCTTTCCCTTGCTGATTTCTCTTAACCTAGAGCAGACCCCGAGACAGTGGTGAAGTTGCTTCATGCGGAAGAAGATGCTTTAATAGGAGAATCAAGGCAACTTCGGATAGAACACACTACATGTAATTTCTCAGCAGCACCTTAAAATACTGTGAGTAGGGGGAGTCCCTCCCTCTACTTCCATCTCAGTATCAGCTGGAGCGGAGTTGTGAAAAAAATGGGAATTTCAAACACCTGTCATGCTCAGGAAAGAAAATTTTGGCCACAGAAATTTAGGCAACTGTATAAAAAATGTCTCCCTTGAAAATAATAGTTTAGTATTTTTTTAATTAAAAAAATTTTTTTTGGCCTTTAAATGGAAACATTTCTCAGATTTTGAATGACCTAAAAGTAGTTTTCTCTAGGACCTTTTGGAAATGAAATGAAGTATCCAGAATGGAAGAGAAAAGTAGCTGACAGCCACAAGAAAAGCTAACACAGAGTGTTGTTTCTTTGGGGTCTCTTCTCAGCTGTCAGGTGTGTTTGGGGACACAGAAGTAGACGGGGTGACGATGTCTTCCAGAGTGGGAGGAATGCCCGCCTGGGCTGGCACGGCAGAAGCTTAATGGCCAAATTTACTCAGCAGCCAGTCCTTCTCAGGATAAACCCCTCCTTCTCCCTTCATCTGTAAGACAAGAACAGGGATGACAGAGAACTGTGGAAATAGGGCCTTGATGGCCTCAGAGGCAGTACAATTCTTTAGAGAAACCCTAACACCATGAAAGGGACCTGGCTGAGAGTATGATTGATTTCAAGGAGAAGAATTTTACAGAGAACATACAGAGAAGGCTGGAGGTTCATCTACAGCCTGCACACCCCTAGAAAAACCCCTCAGCTCTGGCTCTGGGAGTCACAGCGTGCTGAAAGGTGAGTGGTTTCACAGAGCGCCCAAGTGCTGAGTGAGGTCCTGCGGCGTCCTCCTGGCCATCTGCTGGTTCCTGGCCAAATATCTTCACCCGAGAATAGATATTCTGTTGTGTTTGTTGGCTTCAGAGTGTCAGGTGGTATTGAGTTTGGTTCCTGGCTTCCCTGATTCCTCTCCAAGTGACCCCAAACCAGGTATTTAGCCTCTATACACGTCCATGTGCAAAATGGAAGTAAAAAAGATAACTTCCCTTATGTGTAGTGTTGAGGCATATGTGAAGTAACGCATGTCAAACATTCAGCACACTTCAGGGTACGAGGGTGGGATCACGGAAGGTGAGCTGCAATTTTTATCATTATTAATGTTAGGACATTTAGTTGAACTCAGTAACTTGAGAGATGGGTTTAAAGCAGAGTGGGAGCTCTGTGGCCTGATCTTGCCCGCCATAAGGGTTAACTTGCAGATCTAAATAAGCTCCCCCTTCCACTTTGCAGGACGTTGACCTCAAAGTTTAGGCTCTCTACACCCTACAGTTTGAATTTGTATTGCTTTTGATTCAGCTGTAAATTTTAGTATGTTAGAGCTAAACTCAATTGGGATGGCTTTTTCTATTTTCCTTTGCAGGCAGCTTGGCATTAAGTAGGTCCTAAAGTGGGTTGCACGCTCCATTCCATCAAAGGTGAGAGGTCAATTTGAAACATGGCAGGAATGGACAGTAACAGCATTTGGCATCGCGATCCCCCTTTTATACAGGGTGAAGCATTTCGGAAACCCTAAACTCAGTGGGATTCTCAGATTAGATCTGTTTTGAATTAGTTCCTCCAGTCTGGGTGGTAAAATGCAAGCGGGGAGGTTAAATGAACATATTCAAGTTCAGAAACAGAGAGTTTTTCGAAAATGATGTTCATTATTTAGAACAGAAGTCTTCATTGCTTTTCTAACCCCTGCCCCTTCCTCTTGGGTTTCTCTGGAATCAAACATATTCTCTGACATTTATAAATCCTCTACATCTAGAAGAAAATGACATTAAAGTACAATATCTTTCTAATTTCTTCCTCTTTTTGGTGGATTTTGTTACTGGGCAGGGGGCCTCAGGAGGAGAAGAAGGGAAGGATCTTGTCATTCATTTCTGGCTGCCAGTTACCATGGTTGTTTATAAAGTCGTTGGAATGAAGGCGACTGCAAAGATTTCCTCGGGAACCAGTTGACTGTACTGGTTGGAAGGGAAATACATCTCCTGGCAAAACAAGCATCACAGCATTTCTTCTAGGATAAGAAAACAGGTCAAATTTTTTAACACAAGGTCAACCATGACTGCATTTGGATAATAGGTAAACACGTTTAGTGGGAGGCAGCCTGTTTTGACCGGGGCACATCTCTAATATCGGGGGATGGATGGCAGGATCAGCTAATTGAAGATCATTTCTTTTTATTCCATGTTCCTGCATTACAATGCATCATTGAACTTTTGACTTTGGGATAAGGGGAATGGTCCTGTTGTAAGCTAGAAATTTTCCTGTAGGCTAGAAATTGTGGACTACATAATATTTTTCTTATAGACCCTATCAACATGCTCATGGAAGCCTCAGGGATACATACAAATAAAATCATTAGAACACAGCTCACTTATTGATATTCTTTTTGGAAAAATAGAAAGGTAGTGCCCACTGGACTTCTAGATATTTCTTCCCATGGTTACTTTAGGTATTTCCAGGCAACTAGGGCCAACAACTCTTAGCAGATGTAACAGTCACAGTCCTTCTCCTTTCAGACGTTTAAGGATTTCATGGAGCCTGTCAAGGTTTAAAATGTTCACCTTTGGGCAGCACTGATTATTTTTGAAAACCAAAATAAATTGACATAAGATGTACTTTAGTGGCTGTAAGATGTACTTTAAGTTGTACTTAAAGTCTCTTGGAGTATCATTCTAAATTTAAAAAAAAGTCCTGTGTGGTCAAATAGAAAATTCTTACTTTTCTCTGACAATGTCTTGTACTTTTTACTGATAGATTAATATTGAAAACTGCCTGGCTCCTAGCACACAGTCCAGACTTTGCCAGTCATGGGCCGTAAGGACATGGCCTACCTTAATTAACAGGTTTGGATGCTTCTAGTTCATACATACTCTATTTTGTGAGTTTTCTCTTAAACCATCAAGAAGGGAACAGGATTTTGAAGAAATATCCTTGAGCAGAAGTCGCTTCATGTTAGTCCCCAGATCCTCAAGGGGTGATTTTTTATGAAAATTATTTAAATAGTCTAAGTTCATCTACTTTTTTGGTGAAATAACAGGCACTCCAATCTACTGTGTTCTTAACTATAGTCATAATTTTTCTGAATAATGGACCATAAAATGAAGCATTTTTTTCCAAACTACTGCCTTCCAGTGGAGACACTGAGGGCTGGATATCAGTTCATAGATTTTTTTCAGTCATCTTGAGCCTCTATCTAATTGAGATGGGTTAGGTAGGGTCCCTACTACTTGCTAGTGAGAAATTATTATTTTCTCCTTTTTCATGAAAGTGTAATGTAAAAAGAAAAAAACACTCAACATTCTTCTTGATGTTCACGGGGCAGTAGTGGTGATATCCCTTCTCCCTAATCGGTGACTTGGCTTGAGAAAAAGACTTCAAAGAGTGGAGCTCCCTGGGCACCCCACCTGTTGTGCCCGAGTAGCTCTTTTCCACAGTGAGGATCGTCACCAGTGACACTCTCCATGGCTGCGATCTGGAGGTGGCTGGAGGGACATTTCCTTCGGAGCTCCTCCAACTATTTGTGGGAAAGGCCAGTTTTATTTTGTGTTTCCAGAGAAAGAAAAGACAGGGACACAAATCTGCTGATCAAGCAAGTCAATTCATGGCATTCTTTCTAAATACTTTATTTTAATTTCCATACTATGTCACTATGCACTGGTGATAAACAGTTTGAAGAACGGAACTAGTCCCTGAAACCTGTCCCTTGAAATGCACTGACCTAGGTCCCTCGGCAGAAGGTCATGTTAGTTCTGCTCTCTGGACAAACTAACATCCTGGCTGAGCCACGTGATGGAAACTGACATTCAAAGTCCTCTCAAGTTGCGTTGTGATGGAATTGTCTGTAATAGTCCAGCAGGCTACCTATCTCACAGCCCCACCAAGTGCCCTGAAATAAGGGCTTGTTTTATTTCCTTCTTTTGATTAAGCAGTGTTTTCCTACTCAGAGGATCCCCTCCTTCAGGTTTCCTGTTTCATCTTGCTAAAATATTTGAATTCAAGAATTTAGAGAATTTGGCAAAAGTTCAAAGAATTTCTCCCTTGTAACACAAGGACAAATATGCACTTGAATATCAGAAAGAATGAAGGTGAATAGTTCCCCAGAGTAGATTTGTAAATTAAGCATTAATAAGAATTCTGGGCTACATTAATTAGCACTCATATGTACATAATGAAACTGCACAATTCTAATTCATAGTTTTAATTTAGTTCTCCATTTATGGAGAAATGTGATTCATAAAAGGACAGTATCAATAAAACCTGGTAACAAACAAATTCTTAGAGTTTTATTCCACAGAACAAATAATGACAATGCTGTGTGTCTTTGAAGTGTTTGTTATCCGTGATGTCTTAATTGTACATTTTGAAGAGCTTTTTATTGATTGATTGATTTTTGTAAACTCACTACATTAATTAGCACTCATATGTACATAATGAAACTGCACAATTCTAATTCATAGTTTTAATTTAGTTCTCCATTTATGGAGAAATGTGATTCAT